AGTTGTACCCTGGAATTGTCTATTGGAGAGGGATGTGTCTGAGAGATTTATTAACATCGTGAAAGTGTTAAGTAATAACACCTCAGGTAGAGTGACGGAGTACAAGCACCTGTCTCCATTGTTCCAAACCTGCAGTAGAGATAGGAAAGGTTTCCCGACTTCGCTATTCCTCTTAAACTTGCCATGTATGACATTCTTGAGGCAGCTGTGAAGGTGCGTGATGGTGATGTAAATCTACTACCCGGAGAACGTCTGTTAGACCTTGAACATGCGGACGATATCGTCTTACTGTGCAGTAACACACAGGCTATTGAAATCGCACATAATCGGTTGGCGATTAGTGTCCGTAACTATGGTATGTGCTTTGAACCGTCGAAGTGCAAATTACTTTTGCAAGATTGGTGCTGTCGCGGCGTTAGTCTGACCGTCAAAGGTTGGGTTTACAACCTGACTGATAGCTGGTACCTTGACGTGGTAGTCGGGTTTGCATATCACATTGACCCAACAAGCTATACTGGCGGAATACTTGTTCCCTCGACCTCCTACCATATCAGAAAGGTCTGTTGCATAGTGGTTAGATGAAAAACAGTTACCGTTGTGGTGTAAATTACTACATTATGATGGGGGTCTTAGGGCGAAGTCGTACCACTGCTATCTGGATGGGGTGTGACAGCAGTAAGGTGTTTCCCTTGTGTGGCCAGCAGTGCCATGCTGATGCCGCCTTCTCAATGGAAAGGGGAGGTTAGAAAAGGTCAGCCCCCAAAATGACACTCCACCATACCCAACAGTCTGCTGGGCTAACGGTGTTGGTTCATTTGTCGTTTCTTTTCGACCATCCGGCCCCAAAAATACAAAAGTTCAAAATAATCATGCACAAAAGGCTGGGTGTTACAGGCCTCAATGAGATGTTCGATGGGCTCTGTGGTCGCACAAATCTCTTTCAGTTACTTTAAGAAGAAATAGCTTTCCACGGTGTGGGCAGCCGGGAAGTATCAATCGCCCTCACAACTCTATCAGCACTCAAGTTTCCTCAGACTGCTATCCACTTCCCCCATCATTACCTTCTAATCTTCCTTCACGTCTCCCAATTAACAATACTCCTAGTTATGCAGCCTTTGACAACGATCTGAGTTCACAGAACAGCATCCTTGGTCTCCTTAAACCACGCTCCAAATTACATATTGGAGCCTTCAATGTCCGCACCCTCCGTCAAATTGGTCAACAGGCTTCGTTGGCAAAGACTGTAGCAACTCGGGGCATGGATGTGTGCTGTGTTTGTGAGACGCATACAGGACCCAAGTGCGGTTATTCACCTAACATCTCTCGACCAATCTGGTGAATCCGCGAAATTCACCCTTCGAGTTTCTGGAGATCCGATAGCTATCTCTCGTGGTCTTGCAGGTGTAGGCATAGCATTAAGCACCGAGGCAGAAAACTCACCACTAGACTGGATCTCAGTTGATGGTTGCCTCTGCTCTATCCGACTGAATAGCACAGTGAGAACTAGGAGGAGTAGTGAAACTCGCCGTTGTCTCTTTGCAATCTCTGCTTATGCACCCACTGACTGTAGTTTGGATGAAGTGAAGGACGAGTTTTACCGAAGACTATCTAGCCTCCTTTCGAAAGCCAAACGTTCGGACGTGGTGGTTGTTGCAGGTGACTTCAATGCACAGGTGGGTGGACGGAGTGAGGCAGAAGGGCACTGAGGTGGCACTTTCGGAATCCCAGCTGAACGTACAGATAACGGTGATCGTCTATTACAACTATGCTCAGATAACCGCCTATTTTTAGCCAGCATCAATTTCAGACATAAAGAAAGACACTGTCTGACAAGGCGTCCACCGAGCTCAACTCAGCGATGGACACAGATAGACCACATTGCTACTAGTCATCGCTGGAGGGGATCGGTGGAAGACTGCTGCTTCTTCTGGAGTACGTGTTTGGATAGCGACTAGGCGTTGGTCCTAGTGTGTATATGCCTGCGTCTCAATGGACGTAAGAAAGATCTGGCAACAAAACCACTACGAGTGCAACTCAACAATGAAAACGCCCAAGCCGTGTCTAGTGAGAAGTTGGCTAGGCAGTTATCTGAACAAAAACTATCACTCGTCCAGAAGAAACTTGGTGCCATGTTCAGTTTTGTGTAAAAGCAGTGCTGAAGACCGTAGCCGACTCCGAAAGAGTGTTTAAAAAGAGCCAGTGGATATCAGCAGTTTCTTCTGAACTAATGGATGTACGTGAAGGCATCGCTTGTAGGCTTTGAGTACAATAAAGAGCAAGCTCAACTAAAAAGTAGATTGAGAAAAAGTCTACGCAACGACCGCGAACAGTGGTGGCAGCGAAGGCTAAAGAGATGGAAAAGGCAGCGGGGATTGGTAACAGTAGACAGTTATTCAGACTTATTAAGGAAACTGGGGGAAAAAGGTCAACTGTGATTGGTGAGATCATAGCGGAGAAGGACGGATCTGCGATTCACTCTCAGGGGAGACGACTGGAAAGGTGGGTAGAACACTTCTAGGAGCCACCATTGCGTTGCCCCCCATCCAGTCTGATCGTAAATGAGACATTGAGACAGGCCCCCCAACACTAGGAGAAGTTGAGAAAGCTGTAGGTAACCTGAAACGACGAAGGGCAGTAGAACCAGATGGACTAAGTTCAGAGGTATACAAGGATGTTGGTAAGGTTCTCTTAGGTTAACGGAAGTGTTAGTTAGTATATGGGAATCAAATACGATCCCTTCTGAGTGGTCTAAATCACTGATTATTCCAGTTTTTAAGAAATGTGGGTAGTCCTCTTGTGATCATCACAGCGGAATCATCCTGACGAACATGGTGTCTAAGATTCTAGGTTGTGTAATTCTCGGACGCCTGAGTGGAGCTCGGGAACAGCAATCCCGGGAAAACCAAGCAGGCTTTAGACCTGGTCGCGGGTATATCGACCAAACATTCACACTGCGCCAGGTCCTGGAACACAGGCACGCTTACCGACGCATGACAGTAGCTATATTCCTCGACCAGAAGGTGGCATTTGACTCCGTTGATCGAGAAATCTTATGGCAATGTCTCTCAGTGAAAGGCGTGTCGAGCAAGTACATCACCTTATTGAAGACTCTCTACTCGAACACTTGTGGGCGTGTAAGAGCCTGTGGTGAGATGTCCAGGGAGCTATGCTCATCTAGTGGTGTCCATCAAGGGTGCCCACTGTTTCCATTCTCATTCAATTTTATCATAGATATTCTTATGGAGGTCTCCCTCTCGTCACCTGATTACACAGACGTTGACCTAATCGTTGGAGAATTTTCGTTAGACCTAGAATATGCAGATGACATAGTCCTGTTAGGTGAAGATGCAGAGTCTTTTAAACACTGAGTGACAAGTTGAGGATGTTTGGGATACGTTTCTCACCACCCAAATGCAAATTGTATCTCCAGGATTGGTCTTCAATGGGGCCTCGACTAACAATAGAGAGTGTAGTGGTTGAGTGTGTTGACCACTTCACTTGCCTGGGGAGGGGAGTAGGATCAGCCCTGGTGGCTCGGTGGCCGATGAAATTTCTGCACGAATACAAAGGCCTGTCTGGCTTTCGCCAACTAATGCCACCTATGGCGCTGCCGTGATATCGAATTGTCTACTAAGGGTCGCGCATACTGCACAGCAGTTTGGTCTGTTCTACTGTATGGCTGTGAAACATGACCATTGAAGGTGGAAGACATGAGAAGGCTTGAAGTGTTTGATTACTGTTGCCTTCGTAGTATAGGCCGTATTCCGTGGTGTCACCACGTGAGTGACGCAGAAGTCAGGTGTAGAGTTTTGGGGAGAAGAGGTAAGTCAGTTGACGAGGTTATGAGCCTTGATCGACTGAGGTGACTGGAACACGTCTTATGCATGTCTAGTTGCCGATTGTTTCGTCACACAATGCTGGGCGAAGTAGGTCCAGGCTGGAAAAAGGTTTGAGGTGGCCGGACTAAAACGGCACCAATGTATGAAGTATTTGACTGTTGGTTTGAGCCATGTGGGGCGATGTAGACTAGCCAGTTGGGGTCCGCGGGATGAGAGGAACCAGTGTTTGGAGATTAGGTGATATGGGTGAGAACCGATATCAGAAGCGCAGATATATACACACATTATCCTCATCTTAACGACGCTATATCGAACCTCACTATTTTCTCATTCTTCTTTTCTCTTTTTTCGTACTTTATATTTCTCTTGACTGTACTTTATTTTCTTCATCTTGCACTTGACTGCCTTTTTACTTGATGTACTGATATGATGTATGGCAACTTGGACCGTTACGCGGTAATGACTAGCCCTATGTTGATGTTGATGATGATAATAGGTTTACAATGCTTTGGTGCCAGCAGTTCTGCTCTACTCTGCTCCGGGCTGAGGATATATGACATCTCTGTGTTCGATCATCGTCTCTAGGATTTCCCGACCACTACTTTAAGGTAGCAGCTATTGGTCGGTTAGAGGTATCTAGAGGGAAACGTAGCATTAGTTTCTGAAGTCTGCACTATTAATTTGAGCTGTATAGAGAATATAGACTTCCTTGATGGGGTTCGCATGACAACGATAAACGGTAGTTGCAGACTAGGTTATGGCTAAGAATCGATCTCATTACCTCAGATTAACCTTGATATTGCCTTCATATTAGTCGTCATACCGGATTTTGTTAGTATTTCCTTCTTCCTCCTCTCTTTTCAGGACATTTTATTACTTTTTATGAGGTCTCCGTTTATCTATCATTTTGGTGCTTGCTACTTCCATATATTGATGTGGTGTGTAGCGTTTTGAACTTTTACACGGTTATGCTGGCTTCCATGTTGGTATTTTGCTGGCTTAAAATAGCTTGACTGAATCAAGGAAATAAGTTTCATAGAATACTACGGTCTGAATTTATTTTTAATTATTATCTAAAATTGTCTTATTGCTAATTTTATGACACATTCACGAGTATATTTATGGTTTTATGTTTTGAACCGTATATACATCCTATAAAAGATGCCGAAAAGTAAGGCCATTGAAGTGCGTCCAAGAAAACGTAAACTGAGTCAAAAGACAGAAGAATCTACTAATCCAGTTGCAGAGCATCCTAAGCGTGAAGTAAATCATTTGCCTCATTTGTCAGAAAGTTCACGTCATTCCAAGTTCAAAGGCCGTGGGAATAGCGAACGACCGTCCTTGATAGATTTTCATATCGGTAATAAAATCCCGAAGCGTTTAGTTCTGCCCGCTGTATATATGGGAATTTTGCTTATGCTGGTGGTAATTGCTTTCCATCAAATGACTATTTGGTATCAAGGAAAACTTGTTGTTACTCCAATAAATTTGCCGAAAGTTATTTCTGATGCTTCATTATCTGAACGATCTCACAGTTTGTTCTGGGGAAGTTATCGTCCAGGTATTTATTTTGGCATGAAACATAGAAGTCCGAAATCTCTTCTTTTTGGAGTCATGTGGACAACTCAATACTCGAATTTCAAATTCCGCTACGCTTGTGACCAGTACGATGGGATTCTGAGGTTAGTTTTATGCTATATTTTATATTCAAAGAACTCCTTAAGGTCCTAGTTCGTTTGACAATTTATAACATTTTAAATTTGTTATTCCTTTTATTTTGCTGTGAATTATTATAAAAGATGGTGGACTTCTGCTTTTGCCTGCGGTGGTGTGTGTACTTAACATTTTCTTAGTCACTGAAGTTTGATTGCTTGTTGGAAAACAAGATTTTCTCCCCGGAAAATCTGTTACCTTCTAATTAGTATTATTTTTGGTGCTGGAAACATTGTCCAACAATAGTTATCTGTATTCGAAATGCATTGTTACGAAAACAGATTAGTTTCTTAATAACCAACATTATTCATTTCCCTATCAATTTCATACTCAATACTATCATAATCGTGCATTCTGTCATAATTGGTTGCCCTAGAGGTCAGTTAACTCGTTAGTTCCTATTTGTTCTATCTTAATTACAGGTGACTGGGACAATGAACCAGTATCTCTTCAGACTATAATAGTCCTAGGTTTGATGGCCTACCCTTGTTAATTTGAGTACTACGGTTAGAATTGACATAGAACATGTTTTCCTGTCGGGTTTTATGTCTCATAACGAAAGAGTAGAGGCAAGTTAGTAACGACCACCCATACCTGGCTGTTGATCGGAAGTAGTTTGTCTTTTTAACGTTATGAAGGTCACAATCTAGAAGGTGTCAATGGTCTTCCATGCACTTATTTTGTGATTTTTGTAGTCTGTCGACTGATTACAATTGATTAAGAATAACGGAACCTAAAATCACAGTTTCTGCTAATGATCGCCATTGTTGTCTATCAGGCCTATACAGCGAAATGAATTGATAAATGCTGGTATTACTGTTGTTGCTTAGGAAAACTAAGCTGCTGATTTCTGTATTTCAAAGTGAGATATCCTTCACTAGAGCTCTCATTACATATCTTAGGTGTAACTATCATGTGCGTTTAGAAACAATCTTAGAATGACCATCACCTCGTCTCAATTCTTGAAGCCTTGACCTGGTTGTTGAAACAGGTCATTTTCGGGTAGTTATCTGTCTTCTACACCTATAAGCTGATTGTAACCTTTCATCGCTGCTGTAAATAATTTCACAGTGAGTTGTAGATGCTCATCTTACTATATGTGGTCAGCTAAGTAAGTGTATCAATGTTTTGTCTTACGTAGTGCTATTGAGAAGTGTGGTAATTTGAATGAAACTATTAATATTCCTAGTTGTGTCTTCTATATATTGGGAGGTACATGTTCTGCTCCGAACAAAACCAATAACTATTGCTAGTAAGTTTTGTTGTTTTATACGGTACAGAGCTAAAACGTTGACAACACTTAAGTGTAGATGTTAATGCACTCGAGGGTTAAACCCAGCGATTGGTAGTAGGAAGAGATAGAGCTGGTAGGGACAGTAGATTTAAGGTAAAATGGATGATATATATATATATATATATATATATATATATATATATATATCGTTGTAAATAAAAACGTACTCTACCCTACTGTTGGGATCTAAGTTGACTAAATACCATTGGAATTTGCAACCGTACAGTCAGCAATAAATTTTAGAGGCCAAATATCAAAATAGCAGACTTAAAGAATCTAAGTCCTTGTCGGTCATGATTTATCTTTTATGCCAGGGATACGGTTGTTTACGTGTTCGACTGCCCTTTTGATTTGGGGTATTTCGGCTCTCACTTGGCCACTTTTTCAACTGTTTAAAATAGTTTATACCATTATCTGGTAATAACGTGTTCTCGCTTTAATCATACTTTTGGTTCAGCTACAACTGGTTAGAACACGATGGTCGTACTTTTGGGACACAGCAGATAGTAGACATTCATCATATCATCACAATATCATTTGTTAAACCATCTAATGATTTTATGGCCAGTGATTGGACGGTGAGAATTTCGGCAGTCAGTAGAAATTATGTGAGTTTAAGGCTTTATTTATATGAATTTTTTCAATTTGATTTGCAACACTGAAGTTCAATCTAATTTTGTCAATTTGCAAACAACTGTTATTTGGAAGTACCATGACAGGTCAATAAACAAAAACACTGGAAACCGAAACATGATATATGAAGTAAATAACAGTTTATTAACACCGACGAAACGTCTCAGTAAAACAGTATCTGTCTTCATATGTTATTAGGATAACTTGCATTTGCTTTCACAACGCAAAGCAACGTTCGCTGATTTCTGAAATCACCACTACTCCAAAGTTCCATGTCATCAAAGTTCTATATTATAAAAATTAATTAATGGAGTCCATACACCAACAGCGCTTCTTTATTTTTGGCAGTCAATAAAGTTATTGTGCTGCTATAGTTTTATTTATATCGTATAGACTACTTTTGGGGAAACATTAATTATTTGTTTAGTTAAGAATTATTAGTGACCAACTCTACTACAGTCTGTATGACAACTTTTGGAGGGATAAGTGAATCTCAGTGATATGATTTTATTGTCTTGTCTCGTTTGAAGTCTGAATGTTAAAGGTTGCTAGCCCAATATTTGATCGAGTTTGTAGCATATTGATTACTTGGCACTTAGGAGGAAAAAGTGTTGAGCTATTTTCGAAAATGCCATTGAACTTTTTTAGCGTGATATAGAAGTGGACAATCGGAGAATCTCACGTACACCTTAAATGAATCAAGAAACCCTCATTAAAATCATGGGCTAGCAGATCATCTAGACGTGTTATGTTGTAATCACACTGTTTGAGTTATATATGAGAAAATCTGTCGATTACAATATTGTAAGACGGTTGACTTTTTCTTCCGCAAAGCATCAAGGCAAATACTTGCCTTCGCTAACTTCGTTATTGAGGTCGATCATCCTCCTAAATTTCGGTTTAAAAACCCATGTATCCCCGATTTTAATTTTTAAGTGTTTAACAAGAAAAATATGGTTATTTTACCGTGGGGTTCAGCTACATTGAGATCTCTTAAAGCTACTAATAACTCAAACTGACTGCTAGGAGAGGGTAATTGTTGTGGCATACAGTACTTGTTAAAATAACCTGATGTACCTTCGAATTTGCACGGATTGATCTACTCCTTAGAGGGCACGTATTTAACTTGGAGTACTCGGATAACGTTGTCCTGTTAAGCAAAGTGACTGACAAAATGAGGATCTTCTGAACACTTTGAGCAGAAACCTGAGTATGATTGGTGTACGTTTTACATCTGCCAATTTTAAGATGATTTTCCATGACTGGTCCGTATTAAGGATAGAAAGTGAAGTTGTAGAATGCGTTGACAACTTCATCTATTTGGGAATTTGCATCAGCCTGAACTGGCCAGTTACTGACGAAGTCTCAGCTCGGGTACAGATGGCCCGTTTGGGATTTACCAACTTGCATCATTTTCGACACTGGAGGAATGTTCGATTATCTATTAAAGGATGAGTATACTGTGCTGCTGTTCACTGTGTTTTATTATATGACTTTGAGGCGTAGCCTCCGAAGGTAGAAAATGCGAAGAGATTACATGTTTTTAAATACAGGTGTCTTCACAGCATTGCTCACGTATGTTGGGACTACCATGCGAGCAATGCCAAGGTTAGACGACGGTTACTCGGCGAGGAAGTCAGGCAGCTGACAACGTCATGAACCTCTGGTGAATTAGATATGTATGGTGAATGCTGAACCACCACCTTCCTGGACTTCTAATATTAGCTGAAGTAGGACTGCGCTAGGAGAAGGCTGAAAAAGGTCATGACAAGACGTGGTGTTAGTCGATTAAGTCTGTTATTGTCTGTCTTTGCCGTGTAGGGAGGTATAGACTACCTGGTTGGAGTCCTCAAAATAATATGAATCAATTCTTGGAGACTCTCACTGACATGTCAGAAAATAGTTCCCGGTGGCGCATATGTATTCACTACTTGACATATTCGAAAGTTTGAACATTTTCATTAATCTTGATTCTCAAGTTTTTTCTTCTCTCATACACTTTTGTCTACCTTAATAGTACTCCTTTTTACCCATTCGTCCTTTGCTTGCTGCTGTCAAGTGTGGGAGCACAAACCGATGCACTCCTGTGCGAGGTTCTACGTTGTTTTTGTCTTGTAATATCTTGTTATCATCTAGGTCTTGCAAAAGCCTGGAATTTTAGGAAAAAATTCACGCGTCGAATTTCTACGAAAAGTCACCTGATCAGACATAGAAATATTAGATTTGTTAGTAAAAACTTCTGGAAGCGTGTAAAGATGATTCAGACATACCGTTGTATTTTACACACGTTTTAAATTGGCAATAAACCTATCGTTTTACCGCTTAATTTTTCCGAGGAACGACTGTCACGAGTAAAATCTGAAACTTGTTGTTCAAGAGTCCACGCTTACAGTACATATCTACGTTATATCAGTTGTTTAATGATACTACTTTTGTTTTTGGATTTAGCAGGTATTGGTGTAAATCATCTGGTTGCATCGCGTGTGGATTTGTAATGTTCAACAACACAGAGCCTAAGCGAATTTCAAAACTTGATATAAACCTACACCGAGTGAGGTAGATAGGTGTGAAACACAAAGCGCATTATTAACGGTGATTAATTTGTTATACAACATAGGGTTACAACATTTTTTTATTTCTAAATCTGAGAAAGTAGCGAGATAATTCCATGCTCGAAAGTCAACACTCATGACCAGGTCATAAAATATGTGAAGTACAACTCAAGGTTGCAGTAATTTTTAACCATTCGTAATTATTGTTTTGTTAATTTCTTAGTCTAATTGAAGGTGTACGGTAGCTTTACACAGAAATTAATAAGGTAACATTCTGTCATATGAACTCCATATTGGAAGTGATAGATAAATTTTAAAGGTACCTCTGTAAAACTGAGTCTCTTACGGTTATTGTAGACACCCTGTTTCATGTTTGCAGAACCTTGGTTGAGCAAACACTACTACGCTTTGTGTTTGAATGAAATCCACTGGTTTACTCTATGCGAACATGTGTGTATGCAACATCATAATTCATTACCCACTTATGTAACTTCACAATGCAATGTTAATTGACAACAGAATTCAAATAATTTCGTTCATTGTAACTTGTTTTTATTATTAATTTTTCAGACTTCAGTTAGGTATCCCTTATCAGTGGTCGTCTACTTTTATTATCCTGGAGATGAAACTGACTTTTTCATTCATCCAATTATTTCTGACCAGAAACTAACAGGACTACAAGGTTGATTGATTTTATTCATTATATCAGTTACTTAAGTTTTTTCAATGAAGACTTGCTATGCAATTTACCGTAAACTCTGATTTTACTAAGCCTGGAGTAATTTTCAGGGCTCATTATTAACCAGCGCTAAGGTCATTCAACTCATAGCTGGTTCTTCGGAACAGCTAGCTCAATAAACGCAGATAAATACCAGACCTTATTATTAGCTCTTAGGTTTGCGAACGTAGTTTTACTCACTGACTCCCCGCAGTTATGATATTCTTTGATATAAAGTATATATCTGACTGTTAAGCAAAATACTTTATATTCGTCTCTGACTTATTTGAGCGTTTAATCCGTATATTTTGTTGAAGGTTTCCTACTAGAAGTTATTCAGACGTCTTGAAGCCTATAAAGAATTTTTATAGTTTTTGATAACCAGCGCGCGGGATGTCTTCCTGTTAAACCTTTTTATTAATGTCCTAGTTATATTGACTGTACATACCTTTGACGTCTCAAGTTTCGATATCCAGCTGAGAGACACTGATTAACCTAGAGAACACAAAGCGTTCTAAGCCCATGAGGCTGAAATTTAAGTGTGTTCGGTTGTATTATCTGTTTAATGTAGTATTATGCTATTGGACTGGTGGTGCTCGAATACACTTTCCACATTTATTGAGAAAGTTGCATCATCAAGATGCTGGTATCCTGGAGGTGTATACGAAAAGCATATCACACACTTGTCAATTCAATATCTAGTGCACCATCTAAACATTTGACTGTCTGTCAGAGTATGAATGTATTGCACTGCGACTCTCTCTTGTACGTAGCGGTTGTAGTAAGTGGTCATTAAAGATGGAAGATATGGAACGGTTACATATGCCCAATGGCATATGTCTTTAACACATTGTTTGCTTCTGGGAAAACCACTTAGTGATCTGTGTTACACTCAGGCACGCAAGGTTCTACTTTCTTTTAGTCTATTTAACTTCTGATTCCAACTAATCTTGGTGTAAAAGCAAATTTTTTGACACAAAAAACAAGTGATATGTAGCAAATTGCATTGAAGTGAAAGTAATACCTGATAAATTTGAAAAAAACAAGAAAAAGCGGAATAAGATAATCTTTTATTTCATGAATATTTATCAGCTGAATACAGTATTAAATTACAACTCTTATTCCAGCAGAATTATATAATATCGAGTGATAAGGTCATGTAAAATCAGGGAATCTAAAGTATTCAGTAACCGAATATCATAAGTTTTACATCAAAATGTTGCTAATTTATATGTTATGAAATAAAAGTTTCAAAAATTGTAGAGAGAGAGGTAAGAAATGTAAAGAAGTAACAACTATCTAATGGTTCACTTAACCCGCGTATAAATAACATCCATAACATTGAGACTGTTTTAGTGAGCTGAAATCAGTAGACGAGTAAAATAAAGAATTACGCCATTAAAGTAAGACAAGATGGAATTATTACAGTTATTATGGAAATGAGTGACTAATGAAACTCTCCAACTGTATGCATATCTCCCATCGGAAACGTTTTGTAGCCAATACTTCTGCAAAACGAAGTAATTGAAGTATTTTGAAACTATTTGAGACAACTATGGTTTTGCATACTGGCAAAACCCCTGGAAATTGAAGTTAGGTTAAGACATGGTTATCAGCCGGGTCTTGTAGCTCAGTCGGTAGGACATCGGGCCTGCAACCCGGAGACCGCTATTTCGAATCCTGTTACGATGCAGGTTTTCATTTCACCTTCAATCATGACCCAACATCAATAGTATATATTTAGCAAATAACGCAAATGAAACTGAAAACATGAATATCAGCAGCTGTATAGTTTTAATTAAAATGAAGTCTAGATCCTAATGATATTTTGAATATCTGTATAATTTCTTATATTGTATACAACATGTGTTTTGATTATTTTTCAGGTAGTTCAATGGAGCTAAGTGATTTTCATGTCATGTTTCATCCTTCTCCGGATAGGTTACAACTCAGTTCCCTCAAAGCCCATATACCTAGAGAAGATGCAATCAAGGAAGCAATGTTCACTGGTTTAGGAGTCCGAAGAGACAATAATCTTTTAGCATTAACAGGTGTTCCTCAAAATTTTAATAAGGAGCAGCCACCAAATGCATGGTTCTATGAAGTCAGTGCAAATGTACCCGAGTTTTCTGACGTCACCGAACCTAACAAACCTATTTTGGAAGTTGAATTTCTTCGACCGCAAAATTCGTTTAGAGGATTTTATGGAAGTAGTTTCTCTGAAGAGTTATCCAGAAAATCTCGGAATTTCCATGAACGTTTCGCTGAAAAGTTCAATGTGGATCTGACGAAGTTTTCTGATAGACAGGTTTGTATAGTATAATTGTATAGTATAATCAGCAAGTCTAAACTCAGAAATGGTTTATTCTACAAGAATTGCATTGATTTTGAGTCATGCTAAATGGTACATTGTATATTTCAGAAGGATTACTCTAGCATTGAATTTAGGAAATCGGATGTTTGTTTGAGTACGTCACCACTCCATAGTCATCAAAATCATAGTATCTTACCTTATTGTTTCCTTCGTTCCCGTAGCGTTTTACACTTTCATATCTTATGTTTATTTCTTTGTCTTTCCTCTCGTAGACTTCCACCTCGATTTTAATGATATGAATCGTCCCAACTTAGACTGTTATAACCTTATGCAAGTTTCCATATTATTCACATCTGCCTATTGGACTCCGTAGTTTACGCCAAGGAACTGAAACTGAAATTCAAAAGTTTGGTCGTTGGAAATTCTAAAGTATTTTAAAACAGTAGTTTTTTTTACTTGAAACGCTTTTCTGTCATGATTCTCAGTTGTCTTCTAGTAACACAGGTAAGTATGAATAAAGAAGTGTTGATAGTATTGCGGGTCAAAGAAGAATTTCAAATAACTGGTTGACAGCTTGTTCGTGAAGTTTTGAAACAAAATAACTCAGTGGAAGCATACAGATCAATTGATGCTTCCAAATTACTCACATTCTGAAGGCCAATAATTTCTTAGTGTAAATGAAATTTACAACTAACTAGTGTTGGGTGTTTGCAAAAACTCTACCTCTGGGAACGTAAGATGGACCGCCGGTAAACAGTAAACATATTTAGGGTCAATCGTTTGATGGTGTTGTGTTCTCTGAGCTGGATGGTTTAACCGCGAAGCTTTCGTTGTCATTCTAGACAACATTATCATTACAAACTTCAGAAGGATATGAGCTATAGGGTTTTCTCCACAAGTCGTTTAGTAGCTTATCCTGATGGCCTTGTTTGTTTGTGATTGTTTCTGCCAAAATCTCATTTATCTCCATATTCATTTCGATTGGTTATCCAGGTGGCGTAAATACTGACCTTGTTATTTATTGGTTGATAGATTGGGTCAGTGCCATTGTGTCTGTTGATCGCTGACTGACCTGAATGCCAAGCTTCCGAGAGTTGTTTGGTGGTCTTTGTCTTTCCTCCATCCAGGATTTCCACATTTTCCCAGTTAGATCTTTTTAGTTCTTTGCTTCACTAAACAAAAAATATTATGGATATGAATGCTAATTGCTTAACAAACTCTAATCACCGTCACGTTCCTGTTCGACTGACAGTGTGATTTTGAATATTATTTATTCGTCGAATCGAAAATCATACACTTACCACCTTGTAATTGGTCTTTATTGCACAGTAGGATGTCAAGGCACATGCGTTCTAGACAGTTTCGACCAGTTAAGTTACTGTGATGAGTGATCTCAACTGCCATAGCAAGTAACAGCTGCCGATCTGGTGAAAAAGTAAAGAAAGAGAATATTTTAGTCCGCAACAGCATTTTAATCGGGTCAACAGACATATTACTCACTTGTTATTATGTCTTATCATTTAAAGTTAATCGCTTGTAAAGTGGATCACCTATCATTTGCCAATATTCCCACATTAGTAAGCAGAAATGATTGGTTGGATTAGGCCGATATTTGACAAACAGTTCCAATTGATGCTTTCGTAGGCTCTAAGTGACGTGGAAACTCAGCAACTAATTGAATTTCTCTTTATCTCACCTACTTAACTTCGCGTTTGTGTTTTTTCACTTCGTTTCTTTTATACTTTCACCTTATTCTGTTTTCTTTCATTTTTAGACCTTGAAAGTTATACTTAAATGATAAATATTACTATCAACCTAACTCAGTCGCGCTATATCAATATCATATGCGTACAAACATAAACAGTATCTTTTTTGTCGGCTTACTAATATAGGCATAATAATATAGGGGCTTGATAAATATAATTTAAAGGCCATCATAGCAACAACCGAAATGACCAATCAGGCTTCTTTATTTTATGAAAATCTGCATTTTTAGTCAAAATGAAAAACCCTAATTTTTTATTTCCTTCGTTGCTGCGGCGGCATTTAAAGTCTCCCGAAATAACCAGTTAGGTTTCTATTTCAGATGGAAAGATAGGCTTTCATAAAATAAGAAATTTTATTGGTTATTTCAGCTATTGCTAACGTGGCCTTTAGAATCAACATGATTACGAAAATTTAAGAGACCGATTTTTTTTTTAAATAACTTAACTTTATAAACAATGTATTATTCTGAAGTCTCAGTATCCATTTTATTCTTGTGAAAGTACTCGTCCTATGGAAATCGAAGTAACGTGAAGACAACAGAATTTTGAAAAGTCTTCTGTCTGTTCAAAGGGAATATTTAGTCCAGTGAACTATTTCAGTTCTCGAGGGCTTTAAAAGTACCCACCCTTCTTATTCTTTGAATAAGCTAACACCTTAAAAAAGTAAAAACTCTGATCTTCGTAGAATAGTTACCATTTATAAAAATAATTTTGTAACTGATTTTGTAAGACAAATCAGTTTTTATAGGTCGAAGAGAGAAGTCAGAGATATTTAATACCAAGTTGTTTGGCGTTTGGACCCCCCTAAGTTGTATAATGATCGAAGCGTTTGTAGTCGGATTCTAATTCACTCTATGCTGTCATCTAACATATGTCACTTATGATTATTACTTTAGAACAGTGGTGTAGATGAAGTAGTCAGTGTACATCGTCAGATACCTGAGCTCTGCTCTGTTATGGAGGTTACAAATTCTTCAGTGATAGAATGCATTCATCCAATCTATTTACCGATGAATGGTCAGAACTAAGTTACTACAGATGTTATTTCCTAAGCACCGAAACTTTCTTTAAGCTATCAACCTGATCAGTACAGAAATTGGGCACTACGTCAGAATTTAATTTAAAATTAGGTTTGTTTGTTTTATGTGACATGCAGTAAAACAGGATTATTTACTGGATGACGTTTTGAGCACAATTAAGTGTTCATAATCTTAACAATTTAGTCACAAAACTTCCGACACCTAGTTTTCTATTTTTGTCACTTGTCATCCTTTGATTTCATTAACTGCAATGGCTACAGTGTATGTAGTGGCTCACAGTCACACAATAGGGTGTAGTAGAACAATATTCCCGAAGGTCGGTGTAGTTAGGTGGAGAGTCAGAAATTGATAACCGAATCTTTTTTATCTACTCAACACCAAATACATCCAACAGAAGTTTAGCAACACTCATTCCGGATTTAATGGAAAATCCTATTGCGATTGGAACCATGTAATGACAAATGACGAACTTTTTGAAATCAGGTGTTGGGAGTTGTTTAAATACCTTGATATGAATATAAATAATAATAAACTGGACTCGAAACACCAGCCAGCAAATAACAGTCAGTGTGTCATTATGCTGTATCAGTCAAAGAAATCTATATCAGTATTGTCATCAGTCTTAGTCACAAAGATCAGACCTCTCATTTCATGATATCGAACGTATAAAAAAGAGCACAGTTTTATTGAATAGTAGCGCTGGCAAACTTGATCAGAAAGGAGATATTGTTATCATTCTACAGCTGAATAGGATGATTTAAGAAATGGAGTTTGTCTTTTTGTTTTCAAATAATGAAATGAAGTATTCACTTTATTCTACGAAATGATTACACAGATGTCGGTGTTTACACATTGACCATAAATTAACTGGTTGATCAGCGTTTACTAGATGAAATGCAAGGTTGTACGTTACGCCGTACCTAAGTATGCTGTATCTTGGTGTGCGTATACTATGTATTTACCTGAGCTTTAAAGCATTCGATATAGTTTCAAATCGATCTATCTCTGAGATACTGTTTAGCATAACCAGACACTAAAACTGATGTCTTTCGTGTCATATACTGATTTTCTGGTTTTTACTTTTACTAATAAGAACTGATAGCTGTTTTTTTATTATTTCAGGTTGGTATCACTTTTTTAGCAGGTTTTACTGTCAAGTTTCCACTGAACTTTAGTGTGACTTTATGTATATATTATCTTTGTACTTAAACTTGATTAGGTCAACTTGTCGAAGATTGCAGTCAGCAATTTACTAGGTGGTATTGGCTACTTTTATGGTTCTTCTTTGATTCGTTCTTCTAATATTGGACCAGAACCAGTGCATAATTGGGCGACCGGGTTATTTTCTGCCACCCCATCTCGATCGAACTTCCCACGAGGATTTTTGTGGGATGAAGGTTTCCACGGTCTGATCTTAGCTCGATGGGATCCAGTTCTTGCTATGGAAACGGTCGGTTCGTGGCTCGATCTTATGAACGCCCATGGTTGGATTCCTCGTGAACAGATTTTGGGTTGGGAATCTAGGTCACGCGTCCCGTCTGAATTCATTGTTCAATCAGATGTTGTCGCCAATCCCCCATCACTGATTTTAACGGTTGAGGTTTGTTACTGTATTGAACGTTTTGGTCATTTTGTAACGTACAATATTTCTTACTTTTGCTGAGATTAGTTTTGAATGTGAAGTTATAACAACAATCGATAATATAAATGATGATACTGTCGAGCTCTCTGATACAGGTTTGCTTACTACGTTATAAACTGTGCTCATTATTATGCCCGCTTGTGCAGACCGAAGTCAAAAAAAATGCAAAAGAATCGAAATCCACTCAGTAACATTGTGCACATCGGTGCAGTAGACAATCAGCTACATCTATTGTGTGAGGGCTGATGGTGTACCTGGCTATCCAATCCTTGGTAGGTGGAGCGGTGCTGGAACCCGTGATCATCCACTAGTTGAAAGTCAATTGCTGATGAGTCACAACTGCACCCAGACTGAAGTAGGTGGAGTTCAAACTTGTAACCCTGTCGTTGGTAGTTGGAAATTTAAGTTATTGAGTTGTGACTCCGAAATGATCACAACAATTATGTAAGAATGTTATTACTTGTATTGTCAGGTGTATCCACATATACCCGTCGTACAAGAAGTGGCTATCGTGACTCGGTTATGTGGTAGATAACGCTCTGAAATTTGGAGTTATCGGTCCTGGGTTCGAGTTTCATTGGGGAAAACATCACTCACTAGGAATCAGATACATTTATATAGATTCCACTTCTAGCCACTATCCATCATTAGCTATGTAAGAAGTTACTGCATCGTTTTCAATTGGAATTAATATCAAGTGGTAAGACGTTTGTCACTAAATTACCAGAAGAGAACTAAAAGCTTGCTAGAAGCGATTTCCTATGCATGAAACTTGATTTTAAAATGTAAAAAATGCACAAAAGAAAGAAAGATTGTGTTTGATATTCATTTACATGAGTAAATGTTACAAGCATGAGGTGATTGGGGGCCATTATGCACAATGCATAACAATCAAGGTGTAAGTATAATCAAGACTTTTGGTTACATAAATTTGTCTACTGTTTAATATAAACGTATACTTGAAGAACCTATATTTAAACACTATATTATAAATTAACATGATTTTGTTTGTACTATCCTGTCCTGGATCACACTGCTAGCCATCATTCATCATTAATATCACTACGTTGTAAATTGTTGGGATTAGTTCTTGGTGCTAACTGTCGTATCCAAATCTACAATGCCATTTACGTTAGCTACATTTCTCTCTCAGAAGCCTTAAGTCTTATGAACTTTCCTTTGCATAACATAGTTTTATTATTATTTTATTATTTGTCTTTTGGGTTCCTAGTGGAATATACGGCTTCAGTAGCACGCCTCCATTTCACTCTCTTCTCTGCAGTCTTTTCAACCTGGCTCCACGTCTGCCCAGAAGCTTTCATTTCTTCCTCACATGATCTCCTCCATGTCACCCTCGCCTTGGATGCCCAACTCTTCGTTTCCCTTCTGGGTTCCACTTGAGGGTCTGACTAGCCGCGTGATGGTCTTCTCGGTGTACGGCCGATCCATCTCCATTTTCCTCTGCATATTTGTTGGGCGATAGCTTCTTGCTTAGTTCGTTGCCAGCCAGCCAGAGTTTCTTGCTGCTTATTCTTTCTGGCCATCTGATCTTCAGTGTCAGTATCGAGTGAGCTAGCGTAGGCAGCAGCTGTTGATGAATGTCTGTAGTTTGTTGGAAATGCTTTTCGTGACACACCAAGTTTCTAAACCATATACCGGCACTGACTTGACTGACACTGGTGTTGAAAATCCGGATATTGTTCACGCTTTATGTTGAGTGTAGTAGATCTCCACACTGATTTCAGGTTAATGAAGGCCTGTCTTACTGTCTTTCCGATCCTGGCTTTGACGTCCTCATCTGTGCCTGTGCCGTCGGTAGTTAAAACGATGCTGTCTAGGTAGGTGGGTAGGTGGAAGAGACTACTTTCTTTAGGTTTCTCCCATTCATGGTGATTGGTGCTTGTTGTTCACGCTGTTGTTCGTTGGGTATCTTCATCACCTCTACCTCTGTCTTCTCTACATTCACTTGAAGTCCCGTCTTCGCTGCCTCTTCTGTCAACTTGTTGGTTTCCGCCTGTAGATCTTCGAGTTTGTGCGACAAGACATTGGACATAAATCGTCATGGGCGAAATCCAGATCTTCTAGGATCTTTTCATCGGTCTTCTCACTCCTCACAGTTTGCTGCATGATCCAGTCGACTACAATCAGGAAGATCATCGATGATAGTAGGCGGCAGCCTTGTCTTACTCTTTCCTGTCTTCACTTCAAGGGCGTCGAAGGCCTTTTCAAAGTCGATGCAGTTGAGGTAACATGAAGAGTTGAGTGCCATTCTATCCTCTGTTCTATGATGGTGCGTAGCGTAGCGTTGCAGTTTGGTCTGCATATGATTTGTTCTTCCTGAAGCCAGCCAGCCTGTTCCGGTCGTAATTTTAAATCCAGAGCATGTTTTAGTCACTCCAGGAAGATGTGGCTGGATACTTTTTAGTGTAGTATGTCCACCTGGTGAAAGCAAATCCATGTCGCTTTGTGATTATCCTTGTGTTTGTGCACACTACCTCCAATCACCAAACCATTAAATGCGCAGAAGTCTGCAAACATTTCTCCACTCTCACTCATCATTTCACCGAGTGCTTCTCGACCCACGATGAGTTCTCCTCCTGTGTTGTCCGCTTCCAGTTTGGCATTCATGTCACCTAACCCATTAGAATGGATTTCGATGTCGCCAACTGGGCTGGGATCTTTTCTGGTACTGACTGAAGTTGTCTATAGAATTCTTCCCACTTCTCTTGATCTGCATTATTTGTGGGTGCATAGCGTAGCATTATATGATTGTGACTTTCCTTCTTTTCCTTCGATTTGAATCTTACTGTCATGATGCTGCAGGAGGAGATTGGTTCCCATTGCCTGAGAGCCTTTGGTGCTGTTGGAGACATTATGACAGCCACTCGAAAACTCAGTGTGCTGGTTCGTGGTTGTCGTCTGGGTGACAATATCGGAGTAGATTATTGACTCTCCAGTTGAAAGTTTGGAGAGTTCACTCTCATCTCATCTGCTCTCACAGATTCCTAGCACTTCTATGCTATACTTTCTCATCTCTTTGGCAATCTGGGCAGCCTTGCCAGGAAGCTTCAAACATTGTGCGGACATTCCATGTCCCCATGTTTACTTTCACCTCCATTGAGAGAAGACACATCGACCAATTGACTTCGCCAAGACTTTCACCAACCAGCGTCCTTTCGCCTCTCCGATTCCAACGAGGAATAATTTTGTTTCTATTTTTTATATTTTGTTTGTGCTTTGAAGTTTCTTTAGTGATTGGATTGGTTTTACGGGGTAGGGTTGGTAGCCCTATGGCCAACCTTCCCTCTCTATCCGGACTTAGGACCGGCTAGGAACTAGTGAACTAGGGTTGGTTTAGGTGAGGTTTAAACGACCGATATCGACATACCACTCATGTTTTGACAACGTTGGGGAACTGATCGTAGGTCAGCTGAATTTATATTCAAAGTGTTACCACAAAGCTCCGAACTGCCTTTTCCTTTGTGTTACCGGATACCAGTAGTTTCCCGCTGTAGTTTCCCTAACCATCATCTTATTGTGTCTGCCTCTTAAAAATGCAGAAATAACTGTGACGTACTAACTAGGTTTGATGCCTTCTCCTTTGCCATACATCATTGCCTACAGTTAATACTAGTACTCCTAGTTATTTTAGATTTCAATAATCTTCGTCTTCTTGCTCAGAGATAATTAAAATGAGTAATATCGCGACCACCAGTCTGAATGAGGTTCCAACGGTTCACCAGATTAAGTGTGTGTTGGTTGCAGGATACGAACTGTTTTTGCCACTCTTCTCGCACCAGACTGAATACTAGCGCAAAGCCTAATTTGGATGAGATATGCTGCTAATGTTTACAAAAATGCCTATTTGCTCCTTTAATACATGCTTGATATTCTCATCTACTCAAGCATATAAAGCAGTTACTGTAGATAGCTCCTATCTCAACGGACATACACATGATCATTGTGTAATCTGCCATGACACAAAGAATGGCGATCGCCAACTGATCTTCTCCAAAGGTAACCTAGTAGCAATAAAACTTATCTGCCCCCCCCCCGTTATATTGCAATCGTCGATTACGTGATTAGAAATTATCGCCGGCAAACTATGTTCAGTACTGATTAGATATTAATACTTCACTGAAAATTTTCTTTTCGCAAGTATTACTCATGTTCTCCCTTCTTCAGTTTTGTTCTCCTGCTTTCTATAAATCTGTACTGGCCATTCGTTTTCCTCTCAAAATTGCTCACTAGTTGATCATCCAGTACCATGTCTTTCGTCAAAGGTGCTACATGATATATCAATTCAAAGCTTTATTGTCAGCAGCGTCCGACACAAACGACTATCAAAATAAATTGAAAATGAACACCACACATTCTTTTGGTAGGCCATGAGCCACGCTAATTTTATGAGAGATAATCATATTATCTGACTGTTTAAACCTCAGTAGTTGGAGCAAAACTCGAACCCGTGATCCCTTGATCGCAAACCAAGTACCTAAATAGATGAGCCGCAGCTCCACCAGTTTGGCGACATGGAAGGTCATTAATAATGCTGAAAGCCCTACATAATTAGCTCAACTTAACTAAGCGAGGGTTGAGATCACTTGCTAATTCGACAATATTTTATCTATTTCGTCGGTTTCTTAGCAGTGGCTAATAACCTAAAACATCTAGAATTTCATACAAAAGAACTTGAACACACTTTTATAGTCAAATGAAGTTAGTTAACTTGAATCCAAATGTAATAGTAAGGAATATAAACCCTCGGATAAAATTTACAAGACATACTAAAATGTTTCAGTTGTATATCTTATTCAACAGGGAGTAAAATGAAATATGAATAAAGAGTAACAGTGTTTTGGTACTTAAAACCAAAGATGATGTACGAAGATTGCGTGATAAATAAGTTGATGATAAGCAACAGGAAAAACCTCACCTGGTTAACTAGTTTACTAGTTACTAGCCGGTCCTAAGCCCGGGTAAAGAGGGAAGGTTGGGCATAGGGCTAGCAACCTTACCCCGCAAAACAAATCTAACCGCTAAAGAAACTTCAAAGCACAAACAAAATATAAAAAATGAAAACAAACTTATTCCCCGCTGGAATCGCAGAGGCGAAATGACGCCAAATGGTGAAAGCCTTCGGGAAGCCAATTGGCCGATGTGTCTTCTCTCGATGAAAGCGAAAGTAAACGTGGGGACATGGAATGTCCGCACGATGTTTGAACCCAGTAAGGCAGCACAGATTGAAAACGAGATGAGAAGGTATAACATCGAAGTGCTTGGGATTTGCGAAAGCAGATGGAATGGGAGTGGACTCTCCAAACTGTCAACTGGAGAATCAATAATCTACTCCGGTCACCCAGACGCCAACCACGAGCACACTGAGGGAGTGGCTATCATGATGTCCTCAAGAGCATCGAAGGCTCTCATGCAGTGGGAACCAATCTCCTCCTGCAGGATCATGACAGCAAGATTCAACTCAAAAGGAAGAAAGGTCACAATCATACAATGTTATGCACCTACAAATAATGCAGAGCAAGAGAAAAAGGAGGATTTCTACAGACAACTTCAATCAACACTGGGCAAGACATCAGTTGGCGATATCAAAATTCTGATGGGCGACATGAATGCGGAACTGGGAGGGGACAACACGGGAAGAGAACTAACCATGGGTCGAGAGGCGCTAGGTGAGGTGATGAACGAGAATGGAGAATTGTTTGCAGAATTCTGTGCATTCAACGATTTGGTGATTGCAGTGAGGCAGCGTGTTCAGGCACAAAGATATCCACAAAGCGACATGGACTTCACCAGATGGACACACTAAAAATCAAATCGACTTTATCTCAATCTCAAGAAAATGGAGACGCAGTCTACTTAACACAAGGTCAAGAAGAGGAGCAGATGTAGGTTCAGACCACTATCTAGTGCAAGGAACCTTCCAAATCAAGTTAAAAGCCTTCAAGGAAGCTGGTGATAGACCTCAATTCAAGTACAACACTCGGAAACTGAAGGATGAAACTACAAAGGAGATCTTCAAGGCAGCCATCAAGACAAAATGGGAGACATCGAGGGACATCCCTGAAGAAACCTGTGTGGAAGAACACTGGAAGTCTTTGAAAGCTATGTGGAAAGAAACCTGCACAACAGTATTAGGAAGGAAGAAGAAAGAAGACAAGGAATGGATCTCGACGGATACCTGGAAGCTGATAGAGGAGAGGAGGATGGTGAAGCAGAAGATAAACCAGTGCAAGGATGCTCAACGACAAGAGGGACTGAGCACAATGTATAAAACACTGGACAAAGAAGTGAAGAAGAGTGCACGCAAAGACAAAAGACACTTCTACGAAACACTGGCAAGTGAAGCAGAACAGGCTGCAGGTAAGAGAGACCTGACGACATTGTATCAAATAACCAGGTTGCTATCAGGGAAGAGACCAACACAGATGAAACCAATAAAAGATGAAGAAGGAAATTTAATTACAAAAGAAGAGAAACAGAGGAAACGATGGGTTGACCACTTCAAGAAGCTCTTGAATCGACCACCACCTGCACTTCGTCCAGAAATACCACCTGCAGCCGCTGAATTACAAGTGAACATTAATCCCCCAACGAAAATGGAAGTCCTGAACGCCATAATGCTACTGAAATGCGGGAAAGCAGCAGGACCAGATGGAATACCGCCAGAAGCACTGAGAACAGATGCAGAGACAACAGCGGACATGCTCACACCACTATTGCAGAAGGTGTGGAAGGAAGAGAAGGTACCGGACGATTGGAAGAAGGGTAACCTTGTCAAACTGCCGAAGAAGGGAGACCTCAGTGCTTGCAAGAACTGGCACGGAATCACTCTCCTGTCCACCCCAAGTAAAATATTAGGCCGCATCATCCTTTGTTTGTGCTTTGAAGTTTCTTCAGTGATTGGATTGGTTTTACGGGGTAGGGTTGGTAGCCCTATGGCCAACCTTCCCTCTCTATCCGGACTTAGGACCGGCTAGGAACTAGTGAACTAGGGTTGGTTTAAGTGAGGTTTAAACGACCGATATCGACATACCACTCATGTTTTGACGACGTTGGGGAACTGATCGTAGGTCAGCTGAATTTATATTCAAAGTGTTACCACAAAGCTCCGAACTGCCTTTTCCTTTGTGTTACCGGATACCAGTAGTTTCCCGCTGTAGTTTCCCTAACCATCATCTTATTGTGTCTGCCTCTTAAAAATGCAGAAATAACTGTGACGTACTAACTAGGTTTGATGCCTTCTCCTTTGCCATACATCATTGCCTACAGTTAATACTAGTACTCCTAGTTATTTTAGATTTCAATAATCTTCGTCTTCTTGCTCAGAGATAATTAAAATGAGTAATATCGCGACCACCAGTCTGAATGAGGTTCCAACGGTTCACCAGATTAAGTGTGTGTTGGTTGCAGGATACGAACTGTTTTTGCCACTCTTCTCGCACCAGACTGAATACTAGCGCAAAGCCTAATTTGGATGAGATATGCTGCTAATGTTTACAAAAATGCCTATTTGCTCCTTTAATACATGCTTGATATTCTCATCTACTCTAGCATATATATATATATATATATATATATATATATATATATATATATATATATATATATATGCCGTATTATCATTTGACTGTCTGAGATTGCCGTGGTTTGGCAGAGAAGTAATTATACTGGATGATGGTTGAATGTGAAAATACGCCCGCGGTCCAGATTTTCATCTCACCTTCAATCATCACCTAGCATATATGTAGTATTATCTGAGTAGTCATGATGCATCTGGTGTTGGTGTTTGCTCATACGACTATCAGAAAACCGAGCTAGGTATTAATTGGTGAAGACTCATAGTTTATTTGATGACTGCTAAACTATTTATTATCCCATAGACATTCGTGTCATTTCCTGTTAGAAATACTTTGTTTACAGGTTAGCTATATTTCATTTAGTTGACCCACTCACTATCTTGCTCGATATTCATTCAGTTTGAGGATAGTTAGCTGGATTGCTCCCGTGACCTTGACTGTGGTTAAAAGTAACTCTTACAAAGTACCTTCGAAGTCCTGTTCTAGTCAGGTAGTGAATGCCTTTTTTTCACTCTTCATTCATATTGTTTTATACGTAAAACTTGTGGGTAAGCATGTAAGCATTTGTCAGAAGTATTCACGAGACTAGGACCAGTCTCCCAATATGAGGTTAAGTAATAGAGAGGCGTTTGAACCTGAGATGAAAACCTGGTTCATGTCAGAATTCAAACCGGCAACCCGTGGTGTCGAATTCTGCCGCAACTCAGGTTTTCATTTCCTCTGACGAAATGTTTGAAAACAGTTAGTTTTATACAGTCTTACCGGCAAATATATCTATTCAATTTATTACTTACTGTTAAGTTGTTTCTGTTTTCCTCGTTATTATTCATCAATGGTATTTTTGTTTCATTTCTAATCCTTTTGTACGTCTTACATAGGCTTTATTAGATCGTCTCCCCCGATTATCCATTTCTGAGGCTAATGAGTTTCGTCGTTGGTCTATGTTAATTCTGCCTAGATTACATGTATGGTATCAATGGTTCAATAAAACTCAGATTGGTACTGTCCCTCTATCATACCGCTGGCGTGGTCGAAATCCTAATGAAGTGCATCAGTTGAACCCTTTAACATTGAGCTCAGGTAAGGGCTTTGAAACATTAAAAAGTCTCATGCTCTATACTATTTTGTCGGTTACATTTATTATCCTTGCAATAAAAAAAACACTCGCCCACATTACCAATATAGAGAATAACAAGTGTAAAAGTAATCTTTCTGAAGAAGCTAATATCATATTCATACATGTTCTTGAAGGTAAAATACTAACTTTTTTTTATTTCAGTTTACCTTCACTTAGGTCGTAAGTAACTATTTCTCTTACAAGGGTGATGTACAAGAAGTAAGTGGTAAATAACGAGACCGTCATTGAAAAGCTGTTTTAATTATCTATATTTACTTTTCCTCCTTCTGATTATCTTTTATAGGCTGTTCTTTTATAAACTTTTCAAAATTATTTATCTGACTATTCTTTACGATGTGACCCATTAAACTAGGTGGTTGACTCCCAACCAATGAGGTCACTAGCTCACATCCTTCTCCGTTTGCCAAGACTAGGCAATCATCACAATAGTTTTGGCTCTTCTCCTGGTACAAAAATCTGCACTTCAACTTTGGGTTGGTTTATTTTGACTATTTTACCACGGTGTACCAATGAATGAGGGTGCTTTGGTTGAAAGAATGTTTCATGTCTGCCGATCGTTTCTGTCCTGAGGAGTCAGTAAGCTAATGTTTTGTACTACAAAGCTAACCACTCTCTTTGTCAGTACAGCTACATGATTGAAATGCATATTGTAAAGCTAGTAGACTGATGTGTGTTTACAGTGTTTTATTGCAAAAGATGTCAAGATGATGTATGCGAGGGAGATGAACTGCATCAACTTGTTGTAATAAATAAAACAATATTGTTCTCATTGTCGTGCACAATAACATAATATAAGCAGTGTTTGTGGTGTTGGTGTAACTGGATATCAGATTTACGGAAACTTACATCCTACATGGAGGTGCAGGTCAACAAAGCAAATACAAGAAAGTAGTAATGGTATCAGCAGTTGTAAATTACTGCAAAATAAAGAAAACGTACAACAGTAAGCGTTTGCGGTTCAAATCGGTATTTTTTTGTGGCAGTTTTATTTTCCCCCAATTAGTTTTGCGAACAACCTCGCCTGGTTAACTAGTTTACTAGTTACTAGCCGGTCCTAAGCCCGGGTAAAGAGGGAAGGTTGGGCATAGGGCTAGCAACCCTACCCCGTAAAACAAATCTAACCGCTAAAGAAACTTCAAAGCACAAACAAAATATAAAAAATGAAAACAAACTTATTCCCCGCTGGAATCGCAGAGGCGAAATGACGCCAAATGGTGAAAGCCTTCGGGAAGCCAATTGGCCGATGTGTCTTCTCTCGATGAAAGCGAAAGTAAACGTGGGGACATGGAATGTCCGCACGATGTTTGAACCCAGTAAGGCAGCACAGATTGAAAACGAGATGAGAAGGTATAACATCGAAGTGCTTGGGATTTGCGAAAGCAGATGGAATGGGAGTGGACTCTCCAAACTGTCAACTGGAGAATCAATAATCTACTCCGGTCACCCAGACGCCAACCACGAGCACACTGAGGGAGTGGCTATCATGATGTCCTCAAGAGCATCGAAGGCTCTCATGCAGTGGGAACCAATCTCCTCCTGCAGGATCATGACAGCAAGATTCAACTCAAAAGGAAGAAAGGTCACAATCATACAATGTTATGCACCTACAAATAATGCAGAGCAAGAGAAAAAGGAGGATTTCTACAGACAACTTCAATCAACACTGGGCAAGACATCAGTTGGCGATATCAAAATTCTGATGGGCGACATGAATGCGGAACTGGGAGGGGACAACACGGGAAGAGAACTAACCATGGGTCGAGAGGCGCTAGGTGAGGTGATGAACGAGAATGGAGAATTGTTTGCAGAATTCTGTGCATTCAACGATTTGGTGATTGCAGTGAGGCAGCGTGTTCAGGCACAAAGATATCCACAAAGCGACATGGACTTCACCAGATGGACACACTAAAAATCAAATCGACTTTATCTCAATCTCAAGAAAATGGAGACGCAGTCTACTTAACACAAGGTCAAGAAGAGGAGCAGATGTAGGTTCAGACCACTATCTAGTGCAAGGAACCTTCCAAATCAAGTTAAAAGCCTTCAAGGAAGCTGGTGATAGACCTCAATTCAAGTACAACACTCGGAAACTGAAGGATGAAACTACAAAGGAGATCTTCAAGGCAGCCATCAAGACAAAATGGGAGACATCGAGGGACATCCCTGAAGAAACCTGTGTGGAAGAACACTGGAAGTCTTTGAAAGCTATGTGGAAAGAAACCTGCACAACAGTATTAGGAAGGAAGAAGAAAGAAGACAAGGAATGGATCTCGACGGATACCTGGAAGCTGATAGAGGAGAGGAGGATGGTGAAGCAGAAGATAAACCAGTGCAAGGATGCTCAACGACAAGAGGGACTGAGCACAATGTATAAAACACTGGACAAAGAAGTGAAGAAGAGTGCACGCAAAGACAAAAGACACTTCTACGAAACACTGGCAAGTGAAGCAGAACAGGCTGCAGGTAAGAGAGACCTGACGACATTGTATCAAATAACCAGGTTGCTATCAGGGAAGAGACCAACACAGATGAAACCAATAAAAGATGAAGAAGGAAATTTAATTACAAAAGAAGAGAAACAGAGGAAACGATGGGTTGACCACTTCAAGAAGCTCTTGAATCGACCACCACCTGCACTTCGTCCAGAAATACCACCTGCAGCCGCTGAATTACAAGTGAACATTAATCCCCCAACGAAAATGGAAGTCCTGAACGCCATAATGCTACTGAAATGCGGGAAAGCAGCAGGACCAGATGGAATACCGCCAGAAGCACTGAGAACAGATGCAGAGACAACAGCGGACATGCTCACACCACTATTGCAGAAGGTGTGGAAGGAAGAGAAGGTACCGGACGATTGGAAGAAGGGTAACCTTGTCAAACTGCCGAAGAAGGGAGACCTCAGTGCTTGCAAGAACTGGCACGGAATCACTCTCCTGTCCACCCCAAGTAAAATATTAGGCCGCATCATCCTGGAGAGGCTTAAAGACGCACTGGATTCAAAACTACGACCGGAACAGGCAGGCTTCAGGAAGTACAAATCATGTGCAGACCAAATTGCAACGCTTCGTATCATCATAGAACAGAGCGTAGAATGGCAATCAGCTCTCTACCTCAACTTCATCGACTTTGAGAAGGCCTTTGACAGCGTCGACCGAGAAGTAATTTGGAAACTGCTTCAATACTACGGAGTACCGCAAACCTTTATCCGCCCCATTCAACAACTATATGAAGATGCCACATGCCAAGTAATTCACAATGGGAAGCTCAGTGATGCCTTTGAAGTGAAGACAGGAGTGAAACAAGGTTGCCTACTATCCCCCATGATATTCCTTATTGTGGTGGACTGGATCATGCAGCAAACAGTAGGCAGCGAGAAGAGGGGGATACACTGGACGACGGAAAAGAACCTAGAAGACTTGGATTTCGCCAACAATGACTTGTGTCTGATGTCACACAAACTTGAAGATCTGCAGGCAAAAACTAACAAGTTGATAGAAGAGGCAGCTAAGACGGGACTTCAGGTGAATATAGAGAAGACAGAAGTGATGAAGATACCGCACCAACAACTCCAACAACCACAACAAACTCCAATCACCGTCAACGGGAGAAACTTGAAGGAAGTAACCTCCTTCACTTATCTAGGAAGCACTGTTTCAACTACAGGCGGGACGGACGAGGACGTCAAAGTCAGAATCGGAAAAGCAAGACAGGCATTCATTAGCCTGAAACCAGTGTGGAGATCTTCTGCACTTAGCATGCGGAACAAGATACGGATTTTCAACACCAACGTCAAGTCAGTGCTCTTGTATGGTTCAGAGACTTGGCGCGTCACGAAAGGCATTTCCAATAAACTACAGACATTCATCAACAACTTTATTAATATAAGTGAAAAACTTGGGCACTGTGGTAGAATGTAGTTCCATATTAGATTTGTTTATTTGATATAAAGCGCACAGTGATACAGTATTATTTAATTGATTACGTTTCGAGCATAAATTATTGCTCATAATCATATCAATGTAATCACACTTCTTTCGACATCTGATTTTATAGTCCTGTCACCTGATCTCTCTTTGTTTTTTTGTTTTTTGATTGGTAGTAAAGTTTTCCATATCTCTGGTATAGGTGTTGCGTCATTCCTATTACATGTGTTGGGTGTGGATTCGATGAACAAAGATTCAGTAATTAATCTCTCTCTCCACCTAGCTATATTAGACTTAAGTACAGTGGTTTTGTCCCATCCTATTGTGTGGTTGTGTGTTAATGAATGTAATGCAATGGCTGAGTGTTTTTCTAGGTTATTGATCTTATTGGGGTCTGCCGTTCTATGTTTAGCTAAATTCCTATGTTCTGTTAATCTAACTGACCCCGACCGGCTAGTTTGACCTATGTATTTGACTTCACAGTCATTACATGGAATTTGGTAGATTATATTATTTTGCTTAATTGGTTCTATCGGATCTTTTAGCCGACAAAGCTTACCTCTAAGTGAGTTTGTTGGTTTAAATGCCACCCTAATTCCAACCTTGTTGAGAATCCTACGTATGGTTTCTGATGTTCCTTCCTTGTATGGTATCACAATAGAGGTGTTGATTTCCTTTCTACTTATGTTGTCACTATTATTTGTATTTGTATTAGTGTTATTATTTTGCTTCTTATGCGTCCGTGTGAATTTCTTAATAAAATGATGGGGATAATTATAATTATTAACGCTTCTTTTATGTGTTTCAATTCCTTATTTAAGTCCTTACAATGACTAGTGAGTTTCTCAGCTCTGTTATTTAGACATTTGACTAAACCCGCTTTAACTGACACTGGATGAGATGACTTGAAGTCTAGATATCTGTTAGAATGTGTTGGTTTTCTGTAGACGGTAGTATCTAAACCACCATCTATCCTTCGTTTTATTCTGCAATCCAACATAGGTAATTCTCCTTGTTCATTTTCTACTTCGTAGTGAATTGGATTGCGTTAACTACTGAGTTTATGTGTGTCAAGAAACTGTCGATATGTTCCGATTTCAACACTGTAAATGTGTCATCTACATATCGCCACCATATCTTAGGTGTCGGATTATATGTTCGTAAAGCCATATCTTCCCAACTATCCATAAATATATCTGCTACTATAGGGGATATTGGTGATCCCATTGCTACTCCTTCTGTTTGTCTATAAATCTTTCCCTGAAACTTGAAGACTGTCGAGGTTAAGCATAACTGCACTCCTAACATGATTTCACCAACCGATGCCTTGGTTCTTTGAGTAAGTTGTGAGTCAGTATCTAGTTGATTTCTGACTGCCTCCAGTGCCATATTGATTGGTATTTTAGTATAAAGACTTGTTACGTCAAAACTAACCATTTTTTCATCCTCTTCTATGTGCAGGTCATTAAGTTTTTGTTTCAACTCGTAAGAATTTACTAGTCTAGAGTTGGAACGGTCTCTAACAGGACGTAATACTGATGCTAAATACTTTGATATCTCATATGTTGGTGTGTTCCGGAAGTCAACTATCGGCCTAATGGGATAACCTGCTTTATGAACCTTAATAGTACCGTAAATTCTGCTAGGATTATTAGTTTTTGGCATTAAAGTAAACCATTCGGACTTACCTAGAGATGGCTTCAGTCGGCGTATCAGATCTGTTGTAGATTTCTTAATTTTATTCATGACAGTATCTATAGGTTTCTTAATCTCTTCATATGGCCCTGTTTGGATATGTTCATCCATTTTTTTAAGATAATCCGATTTGTCCATAACTACTGTTGAGTTACCTTTGTCAGATTTAGCAATTACTATACTATTATCCTTTCGTAGATTGTTTAAAGCTGAATTTTCCAGTTTCGTTAAGTTTCGCTGTGTCTTCTTTTGTTTTTTAAGTGCTAATGCACACTGCGCTCTAACCTGTTCAGCAGTTGTCACATCCACCGAGCTTAATGCTACTTCTATGCTAGGTATGACATCTGGTTTTAGATGATCTACTGTTATGTTGAAGTTTAGTCCTTTTTCAAGTACTTTCATCTCAGCTGAGCTTAAGGTTTTCGAGATGAGAGATGAAAGTACTTGAAAAAGGACTGAACTTCAACATAACAGTAGATCATCTAAAACCAGATGTCATACCTAGCATAGAAGTAGCATTAAGCTCGGTTGATGTGACAACTGCTGAACAGGTTAGAGCGCAGTGTGCATTAGCACTTAAAAAACAAAAGAAGACACAGCGAAACTTAACGAAACTGGAAAATTCAGCTTTAAACAATCTACGAAAGGATAATAGTATAGTAATTGCTAAATCTGACAAAGGTAACTCAACAGTAGTTATGGACAAATCGGATTATCTTAAAAAAATGGATGAACATATCCAAACAGGGCCATATGAAGAGATTAAGAAACCTATAGATACTGTCATGAATAAAATTAAGAAATCTACAACAGATCTGATACGCCGACTGAAGCCATCTCTAGGTAAGTCCGAATGGTTTACTTTAATGCCAAAAACTAATAATCCTAGCAGAATTTACGGTACTATTAAGGTTCATAAAGCAGGTTATCCCATTAGGCCGATAGTTGACTTCCGGAACACACCAACATATGAGATATCAAAGTATTTAGCATCAGTATTACGTCCTGTTAGAGACCGTTCCAACTCTAGACTAGTAAATTCTTACGAGTTGAAACAAAAACTTAATGACCTGCACATAGAAGAGGATGAAAAAATGGTTAGTTTTGACGTAACAAGTCTTTATACTAAAATACCAATCAATATGGCACTGGAGGCAGTCAGAAATCAACTAGATACTGACTCACAACTTACTCAAAGAACCAAGGCATCGGTTGGTGAAATCATGTTAGGAGTGCAGTTATGCTTAACCTCGACAGTCTTCAAGTTTCAGGGAAAGATTTATAGACAAACAGAAGGAGTAGCAATGGGATCACCAATATCCCCTATAGTAGCAGATATATTTATGGATAGTTGGGAAGATATGGCTTTACGAACATATAATCCGACACCTAAGATATGGTGGCGATATGTAGATGACACATTTACAGTGTTGAAATCGGAACATATCGACAGTTTCTTGACACACATAAACTCAGTAGTTAACGCAATCCAATTCACTACGAAGTAGAAAATGAACAAGGAGAATTACCTATGTTGGATTGCAGAATAAAACGAAGGATAGATGGTGGTTTAGATACTACCGTCTACAGAAAACCAACACATTCTAACAGATATCTAGACTTCAAGTCATCTCATCCAGTGTCAGTTAAAGCGGGTTTAGTCAAATGTCTAAATAACAGAGCTGAGAAACTCACTAGTCATTGTAAGGACTTAAATAAGGAATTGAAACACATAAAAGAAGCGTTAATAATAATAATTATCCCCATCATTTTATTAAGAAATTCACACGGACGCATAAGAAGCAAAATAATAACACTAATACAAATACAAATAATAGTGACAACATAAGTAGAAAGGAAATCAACACCTCTATTGTGATACCATACAAGGAAGGAACATCAGAAACCATACGTAGGATTCTCAACAAGGTTGGAATTAGGGTGGCATTTAAACCAACAAACTCACTTAGAGGTAAGCTTTGTCGGCTAAAAGATCCGATAGAACCAATTAAGCAAAATAATATAATCTACCAAATTCCATGTAATGACTGTGAAGTCAAATACATAGGTCAAACTAGCCGGTCGGGGTCAGTTAGATTAACAGAACATAGGAATTTAGCTAAACATAGAACGGCAGACCCCAATAAGATCAATAACCTAGAAAAACACTCAGCCATTGCATTACATTCATTAACACACAACCACACAATAGGATGGGACAAAACCACTGTACTTAAGTCTAATATAGCTAGGTGGAGAGAGAGATTAATTACTGAATCTTTGTTCATCGAATCCACACCCAACACATGTAATAGGAATGACGCAACACCTATACCAGAGATATGGAAAACTTTACTACCAATCAAAAAACAAAAAAACAAAGAGAGATCAGGTGACAGGACTATAAAATCAGATGTCGAAAGAAGTGTGATTACATTGATATGATTATGAGCAATAATTTATGCTCGAAACGTAATCAATTAAATAATACTGTATCACTGTGCGCTTTATATCAAATAAACAAATCTAATTCATCAACAACTGCTTACGCTCGCTACTGAAGATCAGATGGCCAGAAAGAATAAGCAACAAGGAACTCTGGGAACGAACCAACCAAGAACCTATCACGCAACAAATATGCAGGAAGAAGTGGAGATGGATTGGCCATGCACTGAGAAGGCCGACTGAGGACATCACGCGTCAGGCCCTCGAGTGGAATCCCCATGGGAAGCGACGAGTTGGACGTCCGAGGGTGACATGGAGGAGGTCATGCGAGGAGGAAATGAGAGCTTCTGGGCTGTCGTGGAACCAGGTTCAAAAGATCTCAGAGAACAGAGGTCACTGGAGGCGTGCTACTGAAGCCCTATGTTCCACTAGGAACCCAAGGGACTAATAATAATATAATAATAGTTTTGCGAACCCCGACTAGCGACTCCACATTTTATCATAAGACTCAAACCAGTGGTAAGTGACTATTGATTCTCTCTGTGTATTAATTTGACCACCCGTAGATTTTTCGTGTTCTGGTTTTACTGTGTCTTCTATTGCAAATCATAGCCGTATATATACGTTTGTTTTT